CTCTCATCTTTTTAAGTGGGAGAACTTGCACAATTGGTGACTGACTAAATACTTATTTTCCCCACTGTATCATGAGAACAAACGTATTCACGTGACTTTAATAACATTTATTACTTAATGGAAACACTGCAGTTGTGAAACTGTTTTTTCGACATTAACAGAATATCAACAAAGTTTTGTGCACATTTGCAATGGAAACACAGCTTTAGAAAGTTTATTTGAGTTTTGTATCCTCCTCTAGAGACTAGCTTTTTGTTGTTTTACTGATTTCCTTAATTTAATACAGACGTCAGGTTATATTACTTGTATTAAAATAATCTATAGCTTGCAGATCTATAAAAGTCTTGTTTTCCCAGGCCAAAAGTGTCAATAATTATCTTGTAACTCTAAAATTTACTATTTGAAGTAAGTGGACAGACATGATTCCTTGATTAGTCCAATAATTAAAGTCCCTGTCTAACTTTGTAGAGTCACTCAGGGTCTTAAGTTTAAAGCCCTGACCTGTTTCTGTAGATTCAGTTTTCTCAGTACCATAAGTATGACCGTTTTACAGTCAACAGTTCATTGGTTTATGTTTTTATAATACTTTTCAGCATGGTTTTTGTTTCCCAGTAGTAATAGTATTTGAATATTTGTCTGCTTCATTTCTAAAGTTTTGCTCCAAGCCTCTTTTGTTTCTGTGATGCTCACTTCTTTTCTGAAAGCTCACGTCTGAGTGACACCTGCTACAACCAGTCATTTGTGACTGGGTCGAAGGATCATAGAGATGGACTGGCCTTTGCAGCCATTTTGTGGAAATGTTTTGTGAAAGGGTTTATTGAATCATTAAATTAGAGAAGTGGCAGCAAGGCAGAGTGGAACAAAGAGAGTCGAATTAAGCATGCAGAGCTGGAAACCTTAATGTCTCTTATGTAAGCAGCTGTAGGAGGATTAGAGCTCTTCTTTGGGTTGTCACACATTTTTTACCTGTAAAATCAACTTTGTTCACATGATTTTACAAATCAAAGTCAAATACTGCGTGATGAGCTCCAAAAGTCACCTGCAGTTTTTCCTGTGTCAGCTCATCAAACAGCCTCTCTGCCTCTGACAGGGACTGAGGTCTCAGCAAACCCAGGTCCTCTGAGGGGTCCTGCAGGTCAGGTACAATACAGTCTTTCTGCTTCTCCCACCCCAGCTGGGGGGTACCATCCAGGGACTTCCCACAGCCTGAGGACTCTGTCTCCTGCAGATCTAAAAAACCACAGAAGAAGATATTTTTAATCAAAGGCAACAAAACACCTTCATCATAAAACAACAAAAACAGTTAGAAAAATGCAGCACACAGCATCGACCTGATGTTCTTACAACAGGTGGTGGTGGAGGAGCAGCTGCAGGTTATAAGTCTGAACTATTAATTAATGTTAAATCTAATATTAGTTATAATTAGTTTGAGTCTTTGTCCCTCAGTCTTTCTCATCCAAAATGGAAATCAGAAAAACCACTATTAGCTGTTATATCCTGATGCATCTCAGTAATCCAGGTAAAAAATCAAAAAGAAAAAATTGTGTAGGTCTTCTGGACGGGTTCTTCTCTAATGATGTTTAGAGAAGCACCAGCACTAGCTGTTATTTATCGTCCTCCAGGTCCTTATTCTCAGTTTTTATCAGAGTTCTCAGATTTTATGACTGATTTATTATTAAATACTGATAAAATTAAAATAATGTCAGATTTTAATATTTATGTTGATGGTGAAAGTGATAGTTTAAATATAGCTTTTAGTAATTTAATTGAGTCAGTTGGTTTTAGTCAAAATATCCACAGACCTGCTCACTCTGTTCATCACACTGATCTGGTTCTGATGTTTGGTGTAGATCAGTGGTTCCCAAACTTTTTATCTTCTGACCCACAAAATATCCATGACAAAAACTTGTGACCCCAAATATTACTGGTCTGAGTACACAAACTTTGTTAATAACCCTAACTTCCCAAACTTTTCAGCTTTTGACCAACAAAATAACAGTAGCAGAGACCTGAGCCCCCAACTGTTTCTGGATGATAAACATTTGTATCAGGTCAACTAAACATGGGCATAGTAACAATATTTTTATA